AAGCATAATTATGGGCCAGTATTCAGTGAATACAATTTCATGGTTTTTAATTCTTTCAGAGCACACTAAAACTGGTGTGCTGATAAACCCCTAGTAAATTACCCCTTTTTTTCCATCTATAAATCCCTTTTTTGTTTTGAAGAGGGGAGATTATATTTATTGTTGTTTACTGAATCCTTGTGTGAAAGCATATCAAATATGTGTGAACCGCTACTACTGTATTTACTACGATTTACAAGCCGATTTCATTGATATTTGTAGAAGTGATGACGCGAACACGCGTACATATTTGTGTGAGCCTTCCGGGGTATGCAGCTCCACTGAGGGGCTTTGGTTTTTTTCCCCCTCTCTAATTTTAAGTTGACATAAAATTACTATGCTCCTACAAATGAAGTAAGGGAAACGAATAGTCCTGTTTGCTGCTAAAAACATTTTCAAAGGAAAAACGACAAAATATAGAAGTGCTTTTTACTTTTTATGATACTCTGAAATTAGGGTGGAGAACTTTTAAAACTCCCTGAAGATGAAAGAGGCCATCTCTGCCAATCACAAGTTTGGTTGGTGTCATTTTGGGGTCTGACTGGAGCCCTCCTGGAACTGTTTCTCTAACTCCACAAGCCCTTCCAGAAGTAGTACGTGGCCAGAACTATGCCTCGGTTTATTTATCATTTTGAAATAAAATCAGACTTTCAACCTGTAATTTTATCCACATTCCTTTCTAGCGAGAGTCCTAATGTCGTGAGGAAACCGGAGGGAGGGAGGGCAGTACAGAACTGCTCCTCTTCATCTGGCGCCCCCTCTCCTTGTGCTCATGCCAGCTGCTGGTCATCGGCCCCACTGTGCGCCAAGCTCTGGGAACGCGCAGAGGAGAGGCACAGACTTGGGGGGATGGAAACAGAGAAGGACGGAGAGGGTGTTTGCTGGGCAAGCGTTCCCAGGTAGGAGAGGGCTCGGAAAATAAGACATCTGTGAGCCTTTCTTTTCACCTACTGGAAGACATATTCCAGCTAAGGAAGAATCCTATCGCGAGGAACTACAGAATCTGGGCAAGTTGTGCTAGGATCAGCGATCGTTCCTTACTCAGCTTTAACGAACCCAAACTCCTGAAGTAAAGCATGAATTATGTACCCGGGGCCGAAGCTGCTCCCCATGACTTTCCTCAGCTGCTCCTCTTCTGATTTCTCTTGCCTTCAACTTGAAAGTGAGCTTGACCGGGCACACACTTCTCGTCACACTTTCTTTGGAAAGCTTAGTGATGCGGTCTTCTGGCCTGATAGCAGAAATCAGAGACCGGCCGAATTTTTGTTTCCTGGTAGGTTTTATTTTTCTGCTTGGATGCTCCAGTGTTTGTTTATCCCTATAAGTTTGTGTCAGTGACTTTTGTCTGAAACCAAAGCAAATCCCATGTATCTCTAGCCCAGTTTGGTTTTTTGGTGGTTGGGTTTTTTCCATCTTGGGAACGTGTGTTCTTAATTTTTTTTTTTTTTTTTTCTCAAAAATGCTTTTGTCTTCTTTTCAGTATTCCTCTTTCTCCATGCTAGGAACACTTTTCAAATTTAATCTCCACATGAGTGACTGGATTTTTGGTGTCATTCTGCTGTTTGCTGTTTCTCATGTGGATTTTGTCATTTCATTTATAATTGTCTTCAGCTTATTTCAGCCACCTTCCCTTTCCTCTCAATTTTAATTATCTTCCTCTTTATGGAAACCATGTTTTCTTATATCCTTTTGAGAATGTTAAAAAGCTTCCTACATTTTATTCTAATTCCTGTTCTGGATTTCAGTCCCTCACACTGGATCGACGGGACAGTGACCAGTGTTTACCAGCCCTGGAGAATGGATGACCCTAGGTTCTTTGCTCCCTTGGCATGGGCCTGGTCACAGCCCCTTCTTAGCACCCCAGCCAGGGGACAGCCACATCTGCCCCACGCTGAGGCCAGCCCCTGGGGCGCAGTTACCGTTGAGGCACAGCTGGCCTGTCTCTCAGCAGGCTCCACGAAGGCTCCACTAGCCCACTTCTCCTTTCCTCCGCCTCTCGGGAACAAACAGGAAGATGAAATCTATTCTTCCAGCCCCAGTCTACATGTTTTAATCCCTTGCTCAGCGCGTACATATCAACAGTGTGCGCATTTTCTGAGACGTTACTAAAATGTTCTGACATGACTTCAGTATACTTTTCATTTTCAAATGTGTTTCACAAATGGTTTTATTTAAAAAAAAAAAGTTCCTGAGTGGAAAAAATCCTGGGTAGGAAGGTCAAAAGGGTTCGTAGTATTACAGGCAAAAAAAAAAAAAGAAATTTGTTGACAAGAAAATAGAATTCAACAAAACTCCGATAAAACCATGAAGATGCGCTCAGTACTTTTTTGTTTGAAAGCAGGTGTGTTTACACAGCAGCCGTCAAGAATTTAGCGCATTTCACGGGGTGGAATTCTAGACTTAATTAGGGTCTGGCTCTGCCAGTTTTCCAGCAGACTGTGGCAATCCCCGTAGGTAGCCTCTCTCTGCGTAGTTCAGTTTCCTTGCCTGCAAAATGGAAAGCATATCTGCCCTTTCCCAGAGCAGTGATGCTCAAGGGAGGTCTTACTAGGAAAACACTTTAACCTTCTAGAACCCTGAAACTAAGGGCCAAAGTGCACAGTGTTAAACATTTCCCTATTTTAAGTTCTTCCTATTGGTGGGAATCTAAATGTGGTTCCAGCTTGCCAACTCCTTCAGCAGTTAACTACGGCCGCCTCCTGACTCCCCAGGGCAGCTGCTGCCCTGAGATAAGGGCGCTCACATATTTCTTATACAGTCGTGAAAGCTTTCTTCTAACGCCAGTTTAGCTCAGCCACCTACACCAGTTTCAAATAACAGTAGGTATGCCTGACCCACGAACAAGTAGATTATGGGACTTACCACTCACATGCAAAACAGCCAGCCAAGTTAAAACAAAACTGAGTAGTGTGTATTAAATAGATGAACGAATCAAGCATACATGGGATCTTGAATCAGAACATTTAGAACTAGATTTTAAAAATACTTTCTGGCACACTCTACTAAAAGGCCAGAGTTTATGTATCATTTTTAAACTAGCTATGCCAATACACCTGCCTAAAAAAAACGGTGAGGCTGCTATGAGACTATGTGCTCGAGGGTGCTTTAAATTTTTTTTTAATGTTTGTTTATTTTTTTGAGAGAGAGACAGCATGAGCAGGGGAGGGGCAGAGAAAGAGGGAGACACAGAATCCGAAGCAGGCTCCAGGCTCCCAGCTGTCAGCACAGAGCCAGACGCCTGGCTCGAACTCAGGAACCCTGAGATCATGACCTGAGCCGAAGTCGGTGCTTAACCGACGGAGCCACCCAGGCGCCCCTCGAGGGTGCTTTTGAAACCTGTAACGTGCTACATGACTACATAATGATATTTCAATAATTAAGAATGATACATGGCTTTTTTTTTTTTTTTACGTTTTATTAACACTATTTTTCAGAGCAGTTTTAGGTTCACAACAAAACAATGGAAAGTACAGAATTCCCAGATACCCCTGTCCCCACACAAGCCAAAACCCTCCACTATCCACATCCTGCACCAGGGTCGGGTATTTGTTAGAACTGACAGCCTATGTGGACACAACATTATCGCCCAAAGTCCGTTGTTTACATTAGGATTCATTCTTGGTGTGACACGTTCTGTGGGTTTCGACAAATGTGGAATGGCATGTGTATCCACCGCTGTGGTTCCACGGTTTCACAGTATATGACATCTTTATCCATGAATAACTAGCAACCTTTATTGAGTTTCTAGTACTTAGGTGCCATACAATCTTCTAAGGGCTTTCCATTTAGTCTTCTTAGCATCAGTAAGAGGAAGGGCACAAGAAGTAAAATACCCCGTCCCAAATCACCGAGCTAGGGAGAGGAAGCCAAGATACAAACCTACCATACTACCATTGCCTAATCTCACTGCTTCTTTTGTGCTTAGAGGGCTTAGAGGCAAAGATAACCATTCTCTTGCTGTCGTGCAGTTCTATTTCAGTAGCAGGGAGACAGAACTACCTAAGGGAATTCTGAACCATCCAAACCTATAGGCTCTAGGGGATGAAAGATAAATTGGGCTCTAAAACACACTGATTAGTTCTTTTCACATCAAAACACTGAGCAAGAATCTTTCCTCGCCATCACAATTCCACAGATCCTACTTTTCCCCTCTACCTCTAGCACTTCCACGAGAAAAGCCACCCATCCTTTACGTTCTCCTCCTCCCCCCTACTGCTAACCCTGCAGCACTTCTGTTCTCCAGGATCTCTCATTCTTTCCTGGACCCTCCATTGACCAGGCTTCCTGTGAGTGCATGCCTGGTATAATGCCTAAAGCTTAGGTGTACTTGGAGAATTAAAAGGCAGGAGGCCCTGAGCAGCCACTACAAGGTCTGACAAACAGGCGTTCAACCAATCTTACGGAATGGTTCTCGCTATGAATGTTGACAGATCTGTCCAATCACATCTTCGGGTTGGTCGGCGTTCCAAAGTCAGCACCTAAAAGCAAAACTTGCATTAGCACCATCTTCCAACATCCGGTGCAGTACAGCCCGCGGTGAGGAGGTAGCCTGGTGAGTATTTGGGTTGTTTATTTCGCAATTCTGCGGTAAGTCCATGCTCTTAAGAACTGCCTAGCTGAACCAAAAGGAAGACCAACGTGTGTACCTGCGACTCGGAACCCTTCTGCTTTGGAGAGCACCAGCGCTAGTGGCTCAGCGTTCTTAAGGAGTGACGCCGCAGCTTGCCCAGGGGCAGGTCGTGGAGCGACACGCCTCCAGAGTCCACAAGTGCAGGCGTTCTGCGCGCCCCAGCCCCACTCCCCACATAGCGCGAAGGCCGTCCTTGCAAAGACAACCTTGCCCCCGGGCCCTTGCGCCTATCAAGTCACGTGCCCATGGCCGGAGCTCCGCGCCCCGCCCTCTGTCCGTCACTCACACGGCCCGCCCAATGGCGGCAGCGGGGGCGGGCTCGCGCGGGGCGGGGCCTGGGGCGCCGTGCGCCGGAGCTTGTGGCGTCAATGCGGCAGCTGTGTCCATGGAGAGAGGCTGAGGTGGCCGAGTTCCGGCCCAAGGCACCGGGGCGCCGGGACGGCGAGGATGTCGGCTTCGTTAGTCCGGGCCACTGTCCGGGCTGTGAGCAAGAGGAAGCTGCAGCCCACTCGGGCCGCCCTCACCCTGGTGAGTGGCCGGGGCGCTTGGTCGGGCGGGTGACATTGGTTCACCTCCGCCCTCTCGAGGAGGTCACGGCAGCAGGGCTCCGGGCGGCCGCCGCGTCGCCGCCTTGCCCGCCTCACCCCGGCTGGAGAGATAAACAAGCCCGGGCGGGGCTGCTCCACGGGAGCCTGGCGCCCCCGGAACTACGTTTCCCAGCAGGCCGCGCGCCGCCGCATGCGGAGGTTGGGGGACGCCGCGTGTGCGCGAGTCCCCGGCCGGCCGGGGCAGCCCGCCGCGAGCCCAGGGGCGCGACTGTGCGTGCGTCGCGGGCCTTTCAGAGCTCGGCGCCCGGCACTCCGGGGAGTTTGGGGGAGGGAGGCGCGACCCCTGCCCTCGAGGTGCGCCGGGAGGGCGGTAGCTCGCCGGGGGAGCGGTAGCTCGCCGGGGGACGTCCGGGCGAGCGCGGCGAGCGACGTGAGAGTGCAGCTCCAACAAAGCCCACCCCTCGCCGAGATCAAGGCTGCAGCGCACAAAGGGTTTCTTCCTGGGGTCGGGGAGGGGAGGCTTTTTGAAACACCCTGTGTGCCTCCAGCAGGCCTCCGCCGCGGTCGGCTCTCACAAAGGACAAAGAAGGATAAAAATCTCTACCCTGGGTGAGCGTTTTCTAGGTGAAAGGTCAAACACACTCGGAGGGCCCCAGAGTCCATACCGCAGATGCTCACCGCAGGGCTTACCTTGCATATACGGGATCCCTGGTGCACTGTGCAGTTGTTTTGTTTTTTTTTTTTTTTTCTTTTTAGCCTAGGGAAAACTCACATAACATAACATTAACCACTTTAAAAGGTACAATTCAGTGGCATTTAGTACCAAGTGTTGTGCAACCATCACCTGTATCTCGTTCCAAAACATTTCACCCCGAGAAAACTCCCATGTCCGTTAAGCAGTCACTTCTGTTTGCCATTTTGAAAGAGTTGAATTTTATAGGAAAGCCTATGATCAGCATAACTTCTCACACACCCATCAAGAGATGAAGGAGAAGCCTTTGTGCAAGCATTCACCACCTAGAGAGTGGGAAAGTAGATTCTCTATAGGAATCCTAGATTCCATTCAAGCTAATGCTATAAGAAAGCCTGTTGCCAGAAAACAGGTTGTAGCAAAACAGAAGAAAGTTGTGATGAGGCAGGAGAATTCACTTTTATAATGGTTCGTTGTTTTCAGCCTGTACAGAGGTTATCCCGATTATTCTGTATTACTATTTTCTGTACCACCCGCCTGTTTTCATGTCTGGAAGATAACATTATCAGAGCTTAGAATTTTCCAAAGTCTTGAAATCACAACAAGTCATACTAGAAGACACGAGTCATACTTTGTGTCTTTCGGTCTCAGTTCACAAGTACTCGGAATTGGGGCACCTGGGTGGCTCCGTTGGTTAAGCCTCCGACTTCAGGTCATGATGTCAGTGGCTGGTGGGTTTGAGCCCCGCATTGGGCTCTGTGCTGACAGCTCAGAGCTTGAAGCCTGCTTCGGATTCTGTGTCTCCCTCTGTCTCTGCCCCTCCCCTGCTCACACTCTGTCTCTCTCTCAAAATAAATAAACATTAAAAAAACAAAAAACATAGTACTCAGAATTGAAAAGAATTCTACCACTGGTAATGGTAGAGCCAGAAAGAGAAGTCCATCATTTAGCATATCATTACTTGCTCGTTCAAAATCTCTAAGTCATTCCCTCTTGCTCCTTGTCATTCAGCTGACGTTTAAGACCTCCTTTGTTTCAGTATAAGAAATGAATGTGTTACACAGTTTCCCACCCTCCAGGGACACAGTTGTGGGCCAGGCCTTGGCCACCCTTAGGAATTACTAGGAATAATGACAGTATACGTTCTCAGACCTGAGCTGTCTACACTTACTTTCTCCTGCTTCATTACCTGTTACCACTTACCAGGCTAATTCTGCTAACAGAATTGTAACAGCTCCTTACCGTGTCATGTCTTATTTCAGCAGGGCTCTATTGTTGGCATCTGATCAAGTGTTCTGATTAACTTGCCAAAGTCCATTGTCTGAACTTAGCCTGTTTAACTGTCTGGGTGACTTTTTAAGTTTCTTTCCCTGTGATCTTAGCTGGTGCTAAAGACAAAGGTCCTTGCTGCTTTCCACCTGATGCAGTCCTTTTAATTCTAGCATATGTTCCCTAGTCTCCAGACATTATGGCATGCATGTATTGCTGTTTGTTAGTTTTCTAGTGTTTTTGCAAAAAATATTTTAAGTCCCAGCAGATATTTTAAGTCCCTTGCAAATATTTTAAGTCAAGTGCAGAAGCAAGGAGGTGATCAAAGGGCTAATGAGTGAATGTGGATGAAAGCAAATGAAACTAGAGATTTCAGTAAAAGGAGGAAGCGATCAGCGCTACCTAGATGTATAAACTTCACATCAGGAATTTGACATGGCGCAAACTTGTTAAAGTGCTGTGCCTGTGCAGCCTACCAGAGGTCATCAAAAGGCTAGGAAAAGGAATTGATGAAATGAAAACATGGTTCCATGCTTCCAAATTATCTACATTAACTGATGTTAATCCAGGAGAGGATTGGTGGGTTGCTGGAACAAAAGGCCTCATCTGTTGATAGGCTGTCCTAAACACTTTGGTGCAAACCAGAGATGGTTCCTTGATTGAGTGTTTTAAGACTCCACCCCATCGCATGAAAGTGAGTACCTTTGGACATCTTCAGAGGCACATCCAAAGAGGATGCTGTCCCTACTCTACATATCCAGGAACTGACAGTTGAAATTGAGTTTGTAGGAGGCAGAGTGAAAAATGACAAAAGAACTTGAAGATTTAACACTGCCCTGCTGGCAGAGGCTTTTATTTCCATCATTCTACAAATCAGAATTAATGTAACCATAATTTAGGATGAGGGGTGTACCTATAGCTGTGCATAAAGCTCAAGCAAAGCTGTAAGAGAATAATGGTACATAGCCAGCATCATTTTTCATGAGCACAGAGAAGTTAATTCATTATGTTCAGTGGGTGCCTTAAGACTTAACTTTCCGGTGGCACCTGGTTGAGAAGGGCTAGGGAACAATGTGATACTAGAGTCCCAGTAAGGAGCTGTTAATTCGTTGAAGGACAAGTACCAGAAGTCCTTTGGAACAGTGACCAAGCAGTAAGATTTCTGTATTTAGGCCATTTAAGGGTATTCTCCAAGAAACCATTGGGAGTAGCCTAAATGTGTAACAATGAGAGATTGGTTAAATTAGAGTAGATGGAGTTGGTGAGTACATTCAGTTGGTGTGGTCACTGTAAATAATACCTTTTTTTTTTTTTTTTAAGTTTGGGAGTCATAACTCTTCGTTCTTTAACTTACTGTCTCTGTGCAAATTATTTAATCTTTAATACCTAAATCACAGAATTGTGAGAATAAGATGATGCATGTAAACCATTAAGCACCTGGAACGTACTTAGTAAATCGTTAATAACGTGTTTATTACCATGTATTAAATGAGAGACATGTTAAACTTTTAAAATGTGGGCTACATAATACACAGAGATGAATAGGAAAAGACAAAAGGGAAAACACTATAATGCCACCCCTAGCTGTTAAAGAACGAGTTAAAATATACTGTGACTTGTTCATAGGCTGCTAGTTACCATCTTCTAAACATTAAAATGCCGTATTTATAATGAAATTAAAATAGGTTGTAGTTGTTGACGCGTGTTTAGTATACGTAATCCTGGAGTTAGCTCTGGTTTTAATTTTGTTTTCTTGAACAGCAAAATACTAAAATTGCATGAGGAATTAAGGAAATACAGTGTTGCAAATGAAAAGTTTCTGCTACAAAAACAGGCTGAAATCTTTTTTTTAAGGGCCTTTTGTCTTGTTCTGTGATATACATATGAGTAGATTAAAAACTGTCTTTGTAGTTAATCAAGTTTCAAGAATCTTAATTTTGTTTTAAGTTTATTTATTTATTTTGAGGGGAGAGAGGGGCAGAGAGAGAGAATCCTAGGCAGACTCCACACTGTCAGTGCAGAGACGATGCAGGGCTCGAACTCACGAACCACAACTAGGAGATCATGACCTGATCCGAAGTCAGACACTTAACTGACCAAGCCACACAGGCGTCCCAGGAATCTTAATTTTTTTTTTTTTTACATTTATTTATTTTTGAGAGACAGAGTGAGACAGAGTGTGAGCGGGGGAGGGGCAGAGAGAGAAGGAGACATGGAATCGGAAGCAGGCTCCAGGCTCTGAGCAAGTGTTAAGCACAGAGCCTGATGTGGGGCTCAAACCCATGAACCGTGAGATCATGACCTGAGCCGAAGTCGGTTGCTCAACCGACTGAGCCACCCACACGCCCCTGGAATCTTAAATTTTAATTCATTGGTCAAATCTCAGGGGAATAAGTCCTTAATTATACCTAAATTAAGGTATATTATACTTTCCTTGGAAAAGTATAGGTGTCTTAGTTGTTTGGGGGTAGTGCTTGGAAATTGGAAGGCTACCAGGCCTGGAGCGTGTTGTTTAGCTGAAGTTCTCGCACTGTTTGCCAGATTGAGTTTACTTCTTGCAGAGGTGCTAGTGTATGCAAATAGACAACCCAGCGTGATCCTCAGCTTCTGCCTGGCCCCAAGATACAGAAAGTACCTTTAAGAGCTAGCATTTTTTTTAAGTGCCATATGTTCCCTGTTAGTCATTCTGACTTGTTCTGAAAATCAAATTTCTCAGCAAGTTGTAAGATCATATCTTTCCCTTAAATAAGTACTCAGCTGGGTTTCCATCATTAATAACACTCCTCCCAATGGAGTATGTTTGGTTTTGGCCTCTGACACAGGAACATTAAGACTTGGTTTGGCTCCTAAATGACATTTCCTAGGCACACCAGTTACTTTTCCCTTAACAGTACAAGGCGTGAAGTCAGCCGCTTTGGGATAGGGAGACCACTCCAAGAATTGTTTTTACTTACTGTGTCTAAGTGTTTCCTACTAAGAGTTGAGAAAAGAAGAAAATACATCATTTTGGAAAGCCAAGTTAGGTGATTTAATCATCACTTGGAGATAAAAACCACAAGGGGCTGCTGACAGAGTAGTGTTGATACCCTGTCTGCTTTGTTTCGGTCATGGAGGGATGAGTGGTGAACCCTCCTCATCTTTGACTTCCCAGCATCACAGGGCAAGTTATACTTGAAATGGATATTTTTCCATGGCCATGCCTGGGGTTTTGTTTGTCTGTTTGTTTTTTCACTTATTGGAAATCCTTTGCTCTTTGACAGTAGTTAGATTAAGGACAGTAGTTAGATTCAGGACTCAATGTGGGAAGTATGACCATGAAAATTACGGAAGCTAGTTTTTACTGGCAGTTGTTGAGAAGGACAAATGAGCGTTTTTAAACATCTTTTCAGAAATATTTCTGTAACTGTTTGAGGTTGATATGCCATAATATCAAGAGAAAAAAAACCACAAAATTCTCTTTTCCATTTCCTTCTTCCCCATGCGTACTGTTCCCTGTTGTCTGCTTTTGTCACACCGCTTGGCTCCTATTCTGGTAGAATTGTGGGAAAAGGCTTTTTAATAGACCACTGACTGGTGGTGATTTTTTTTTTTTTTTACCTTTTTTTTTTTCTTTTGAATTGGGCTTTGCCCTGACAGCAGAGAGCTCAACACAGGGCTCAAACTCAGGAGCTGTGAGATCATGACCTTAGCTAAAGTCAGATGCTTAACCAACTGAGCCACCCAGGCGCCCCTAGTTTGTGTTTTTAAAAAATACTAGTCTCAATTTTCTAAATTGGTTTCGTGGCCTTTCTAAATTGGGTCCAGACTCTGCTTCAACATCCTTACCTGGCTGAGCCCCCTCCAGGCAGGCCAGAAGAGCACGCTTTGGGGCCATCCTTTGGGTCTGTTCCCTCAGCACGGGCTTGAGTTTTGGCTACAGTTGCTTCTGAGTCATAGGTCATAATGTCCACTGGGATTTCACAAACCAGTAAGATGCCAGTACAAAAAACTGGAGGACCAGCACAGTGTTGCCAGCTGAGGAGCTAATAAAACAAAGTAGGAAGGACATGATGTCTTCACTAATATACTCTCTTCATTGTGATAAGGGCTGGTTTATATTGAGCTCTTTGTGCCTGGCACTGCTCGGAGTGTACTTCGTGAGCTCGTTTATTTAATCCTGAGGAGGAGGGTCTCTTCTCCCCATTTAAGCCAAGTCACAGGCTGGGACACAGCCAAGAAGTGGAGCAGGAATGCCCTGGAACAGACTTTGTCCCTGACAGCACCGCGAAAAAGCAGAGAGGATCCAAGAGTACCAGTTTGGTAAATTTGGAAAATTACACTTCCCGAGAAAGCGGGGTTGGTGATGCTGATCCATCTTGAGGACAAATGGGCTAGATTAAACAGCATTACTCCTGAAAAATGCCTCCCTGTGCTTGCTTCTGTAGTTGACCAGCTTATTTCTGTTTGTCCGGATATCCTGAGATGTTGTTTTAAGCCACATTTAGTATCTGTGGGACCATGTGGCAGGACTGTACCGAGGCACACCCTGGGTTGATGCTGGTATCACTGTTTCCTGTATGCATTTTGACGAGTTTGACATAGATTAGGGGTAAGCAAAAAAAAGCAATAGAGTTAATAATAATCAACAGAAAAACCGCCTGAAGATAGGCTTCCCCAGTGATTCCTTGAGTCATTCATTGACTGTTGAGCACCTGATCTCTGTGTTGGGAATTGTACTTGTGCTGAGCATGTAGTAGCAGCACAAAATAGATGCTCCTTGGAAAAATTACATTTGTGATGTAAGTAGAGAGTACCAGCGCTAATGACAGGGAGCTGACCTTGATGGGGGGGGGGGGGAGCAAGACTCAAAAGATGTTGCTAGAAGGTATTTTAAAAATCAAAATAGAGTCTCCTGGGTGGCTCAGTCGGTTAAGTGCCTGACTTCGGCTCAGGTCATGATCTCACAGCTCATGAGTTCAAGCCCTACATCGGGCTGTGTGCTGACAGCGCAGACCCTGGAGCCTCCTTTGGATTCTGTGTCTTCCTCTCTCTGCCCCTCCCACTCACGCTTTGTCTCTCTGGCAAAAATAAACATTAAAAAAAATTTTTTTTAATAAAAATAAAATGCTTTGTATTGAGAGTTCATATGTTTGTTTATAAAAGCCATAAAGTACTTGGGCAAGAGTGGAATATAAATTTGTCACATGAGTTTGCTGAAGATAGACTTGAATAGTCTCAAAGCTAGGGAACTATAAGGCTTTAAAAAAAGAAAGTTTTGGGGTGCCTGAGTGGCTCAGTCGGTTGGGCGCCCGACTTCAGCTCAGGTCACAATCTCGCGGTCCGTGGGTTCGAGCCCCGCGTCGGGCTCTGGGCTGATGGCTCAGAGCCTGGAGCCTGTTTCCGATTCTGTGTCTCCCTCTCTCTCTGCCCCTCCCCCGTTCATGCTCTGTCTCTCTCTGTCTCAAAAATAAATAAAAAACGTTAAAAAAAAAATTTTTTTAGGGGCGCCTGGGTGGCGCAGTCGGTTAAGCGTCCGACTTCAGCCAGGTCACGATCTCACGGTCCGTGAGTTCGAGCCCCGCATCGGGCTCTGGGCTGATGGCTCAGAGCCTGGAGCCTGCTTCCGATTCTGTGTCTCCCTCTCTCTCTGCCCCTCGCCCGTTCATGCTCTGTCTCTCTCTGTCCCAAAAATAAATAAACGTTGAAAAAAAAAAATTTAATAAAAAAAAATTTTTTTAAAAAGCAAGTTTTGCAGCTAAAAACTTAATAACTTGTTCTTTTTTCAGACACCTTCAGCAGTAAACAAGATAAAACAGCTTCTTAAAGATAAGCCTGAACACGTAAGTAAAACCAATCAGTTGAATATTTACTAAAAAAATTGAAGTCCTGTTTTCACAATGAATTTATCTTGTGATAAACAGTATGTTTTCATTGGTTACGGACTTTTATTTAAAGAGTAAAGCTACACTCCAGCACTATCAACAATAGCCAAATTATGGAGAGAGCCCAAATGTCCATCGACAGATGAATGGATTAGAAGATGTGGTATATATATACAATGGAGTATTACTCGGCAATCAGAAAGAATGAAATCTTGCCATTTGCAACTACATGGATGGAACTGGAGGGTATTATGCTAAGTGAAATTAGTCAAAGAAAGACAAATATATCATATGACTTTACTCATATGAGGACTTTAAGAGACAAAATAGGTGAAGGGAAGGGAAACAAAAATAGTATAAAAACAAGGAGGGGGACAAAGCAGAAGAGACTCATAAATATGGAGAACAAACAGAGGGTGACTAGAGGGGTTGTGGGAGGGGGGATGGGCTAAATGGGTAAGGGGCACTAAGGAATCTACTGAAATCCTTGTTGTACTATATGCTAACTAATTTGGATGTAAATTTAAAAAAATAAAATTAAGTATGTTGAAAAAAAAGAGTAAAGGTACACTCAAGGTTTTTAAAAAAAACAAAATTATTTCATAACAAGGTATTAAATGGAGAAGACATCGTTTTGTGACCCCAGACTCTTGATTGTCATTCATCCTTCTAAGGGGCTACCTCCCATTGTCCTTCCCAACACAATCTGTACATTTTTAATCTGTCTACACCAGGGTTTCTCAGTCTCTGCACAGTTGATGTTTTGGGCCAGATAATTTTTTGTTGGAGGTGGAATGCAGGATGTTCTGTAGTATCCTGGGCCTCTGCACATAGGTACCTGTGGCACTGCCCCACTCCTTAGTTGTAACAACCAATAATGATTCCCTGATGGGGACTACTGACCTAGACTATGCCTGTGCTTGTTTGTGTGTCTATCTCTTCGTACTTAGATAAAAGCATTCCATACATGCTGTGGTTACACTTGACTTTTTGTCCTTAATAATAATAGCTCGACATGCTTTCTGTGTCATTACAGGAAGACCCACCTCATTCTTTTTAATGGTTGCATCTATTAGTGTGTTTTATCGAACAGGTTTTATTTATTTAGCCAACCGCCCATACTAACGGTCTTTGGGGTTGTTTACATCCAGTGCTGCCACAACCATCATGCAGCAAACATTTCGTGTCTGTAGCGTGCCAGGCCCATTGCTTAGAGGGCTAAGCCTGTAAGCATTGTGTAGTCCACCTACATAGCCTGTCCTAGACGCAGAATTGTGCAGTAGGGGGTGTGTGCCTCACCTTCATCTTAGTGCATTGTTAATTGCCTGTGGAGTACCATAAATCACATCCAAGTACTAGACTATTAATATTGAGTAATTAGACTACAGAGTGGTTTCTAGCTTCTGTTGTGCGATCTACCTTACAATTGCATGAAGTTCTAGACGGTCCTCCTAAGAATCACTGCATACATATATCAGTATTCCAGCTCCATTGATAGATCGATGACCAAATGGACCACGAACTTAGCTGTGTAGATTTGAGGAATGTTTGTTCATAGTGACGTGAAAAGGATGGAACACATACTTCGTTGGAGTCGCTGAGGGCACAGGCAATCCCTTTTCCAGGCTCCAGGTACCTACAGCTGTATTTTCATTTATTCTGTAAGCGTCTGTATTCGTTCCTAGTAGTAGGACTTCCTGCTTGCTGGAGGCCTCTTATTGACAAAGATAAAAGCTAGCTTAAACCCATACTTAGGACATGTGCCTCCGAATTTGAGCTAGACGGTTTATTGATGGTGCCCAGTACGGGACACTCCCTCCCGTGTTCTGTCAGCTCTCACTCTGAAAGTGAATAAGAGCACAGTTCTGTCTCCGTGTTGTGTAAGGGTATAAGGACACACTCTGCTGTCTGAATGCTTCAGCTGTCCAGACTCCCAGGCACCCCAACATTGTAAGCCCCCCTCTTTGCCACACGTCTTTCCTACTCCCTGTTTTCCTGAAGCAAGTGCACATCGCTGCTTTTGAGAGAATCAGGGTCTACTGGCTGAAATCCTCCTTTGTATGGTGATAGTTTTACCATACACTTCAATGAAAAAGCAGATAGGATCCAAGAGTAGGCATTTGGTAGGTGTTGTTAGGCAGTCACATTAAGATAGACATTGGTATTTTAAAAGTGCGGTTTGGTCACCTTTTATTTATTTATTTTTTTTAAATTTTTTTCTTTCAACGTTTATTTATTTTTGGGACAGAGAGAGACAGAGCATGAACGGGGGAGGGGCAGAGAGAGAGGGAGACACAGAATCGGAAACAGGCTCCAGGCTCTGAGCCATCAGCCCAGAGCCTGACGCAGGGCTCGAACTCACAGACCGCGAGATCGTGACCTGGCTGAAGTTGGACGCTTAACCGACTGCGCCACCCAGGCGCCCCTGGTCACCTTTTAAGCTTCTTACGTCTGTGTTGGCTGCAATCTTCTGATTTCTGGTACTCGAGAATGTGTACCTAGGTCTGCCTTAGAGTTAAGGCCCCGTGTAGAGGCAGGGTGATTGCCAGGTGACAGCCTGTGAGCCTCGGTGAACCTAGCCACACAGAAACTTCCTGAGAGCATCTCCTGCAGTGAGGTGGAGCACAAACCATCGAGAATTTGTAGGTAGCCGTCTCTGCCATCAGATACTTTTCTTTTCCCTTTAAAAAAAAAAATTCTTCATGTTTAGAATTAAAACTCTTCTTTAAGAGGCACCCGGCTGGCTCGGTCAGTAGAGCATGTGACTCTTGATCGAGGGGTGGTGAGTGCACGCCCCGGGTGGGGCACAGCTTACTGTGGTACAGTGGATTACTGAGGCATTACATGCAAATGATAGTTGTGAAGGCTGATGACACGGAAAGATGACGTCTTACGTGGCAGAAACAAAGCAGACAATAAGACTTTTATTCCTGCTGTAATAAAACCTGTGTTTCGAGTGTATGCATATATGACGAGGACTGGAAGAAAAATGGGAAAACCGTAGGAGATCTCTTTTGTAGAGTGATAGTGACTGGCTTTTTGGAGTTTTGACCCCTCCGTACTGTTTTCTTTGCACATAATTGTTTTTTTATTTTAGGATCCCCACTAGTGTTGCAGTGATGTTTGTTAAATAGTTAAATTTTTTAAGTGCATGTTCCCCCTTCCACTTCCTAAAGGGACATTTTATAGCGAGAAATCTAATATTTGTCTTTGAGCTTACAAAGAAACATACAGGGTCAACCAGCCAGGGTTTTTATGAATGTAATTGTTTAATATGTACTACTTTAAAACTTAAGTTTTATTTACAATGCTTTTTCAGGTAGGTCTGAAAGTTGGTGTCCGAACCAGGGGTTGTAATGGCCTTTCTTATACTCTAGAATATACAAAGACAAAAGGAGATTCTGATGAAGAAGTTGTTCAAGACGGTGAGTTTTAAGCAAACTTGGCGTCAAATCTTTAACCTTGAACAGCAAGAAGAGTAAAGATGATAGTAGGAATGGCGTATGTGGTGCTCAGTGTATCTGGTTTGATGGCCTTTCGTGTATTAAGTGATTCATACACAGCAGCTGAGAGAATGGTACCATGTCGTGCCCCATTTTACAGATGAAGAAACTGAGGCATGGAGAGGTTACATAGCTGGCTTCAGGTCTCTCCGCTAATTAAGTGGCCTCGTGAAAAGTTGAACCTAATCAGATTCACTCCAGAGGCTGTGCTCTTAGTAACTGACCGATTATCATTTGTGTGTTTATTTCAGTTACAAAAAATAATCACTGTGTGCAGAAAGGTTTTAAAATGATTAAACTTCATACTGAACCACGCATCGTGTGTGAAGCAGCAGTTTGACGTCTGTACCAAATAATTAATGTCATCTCGTGCTTTTGAGGAATCTGTATTTTTCATTTTTATTTAAAATGTCAGTGCTTTAATTTTGTCCTGCCTCCTGCCCCAACCCAAGAATCTGATAAAACCTATTGAAAACAAAAAACTACCTATTTTTGTTAATAGGTAGTTTTTATTTTTTCTTTTATTTTAGAGAAAGAGCGAGTGGGGGAGGGGGGAGAGACAGAATCTTAAGCAGGCTTCATGCCCAACACAGGGCTCGATCCCACCACCCTGGGATCATGACCTGAGTCAAAATCAAGAGTCAAACGTAACCGACTGAGCCACCCAGGTGCCCCAGTGTGTTGTTTTTTAGATCAATACATTAAATATCTTAAATGTTTTCATTTTTAAGAAGAGGAGTTCTAATAATTATGTGTAGTTTATATATGAGTAATTACTAAGTTTCTTATAAGGAGGAAAGCTTTCTCTTTTTTATTTTATTATTTTTTTAAGTTTTGGGTTTTTAAAAAAATTTTTTTTGAATGTTTATTTACCTTAGAGCGTGCAAGCAGGAGAGGGGCAGAGAGAGAGGGAGACACAGAATCCAAAGCAGGTCCCAGGCTCTGAGCTGTCAGCACAGAGCCTGATGTGGTCTTGTTTTCATGAACTGCGAGATCATGACCTGAACTAAAGTCGGATGCTTAACCACTGAGCCACCCAGGCACCCTGGAAAGCTTTCTTAAGCTGATTATATTTACGAAGATACCAACTTCTACCTGCGTAATTACTAGGGAGTTAGGTTGTTACCAGTTTTCCGGTCCCTAAGCAGCACAAAACGGCTGCGGCGCACTGGCTGGTCTTATGAAACCAGCCCAGTGTATCACAGTCCTTGTGTGCCTCTAGGCTTGCCATTGTGTCATGTGTACAGACGTCGTTGCAGAGTTCTCACACATTTTCCGGACTTTGTCTTTACAGAAGTCTCACCGAGAATATACTCATTTCCTTCATATTGCATATTTGAAAAAGGAGTGAAGTGCAAAGCAAATTCTAGTTTTGCATAGAATTGTCATGGGATTTGCTGATACACAACAGTCTAGCCAGTGTCATTGTGTTTGACTTAGGTTATTGGGTGGAAGAGAAGGGACAGACAGGAAACTGAGCACTAAATCCCTTAAAGGAAATAGTGGGACTGATCCAGAAGCTTCCTGTTTGACTTTTGTGAGTGGTTACTCTGCAGGTTTTATTTATGTGACACTTGTTTTCTTCTCCCGCCAGGAGTCAGAGTGTTCATCGAGAAGAAAGCACAACTGACACTTTTAGGAACAGAAATGGACTATGTTGAAGATAAGTTATCCAGTGAGTTTGTTTTCAATAACCCAAACATCAAAGGAACGTGTGGCTGTGGAGAAAGCTTTAATATTTGACTGCTCTGGCTGTGAGCTCCGGGAACACTCATGGAAGTCCTAGGGCTTACTGAAGAAATGATGTGACTGTCGCGTGCTGAAAGGTTATAATGTATGACTGCCTTATGAGGAAAATAAAATGATGCATTTTGAAAGTGAAGCCAGTGTATTAGATTCCTAAAGAAGTGATATTTGTATTATTTTTAAAGGGCAGAAAATGAGAAGCCATTACTCTCTTTGAGTCATTTTCCTGATCTGTAAAGAAAAAAAACCCTATCCTGCACTTCCTTGTCTTCATCCTTTTTATTAGAACCAGTTTCATGAAAGCCGCCTTCCTGGGAGGATTTCAGGAAATGTACTTGATACACGTGCACTGCATAGATCTCCACTGAGTGGTGCGAATGTGCATTTACCAACCAGATTGATGGCTCTTAAAGTTCAGAGGCGGAAGATCCTGACTGCTGGCGGGACGCGGGAGTGCACTGTTTTTTCTACCCAAACTTGGTACAGCGTTTCTACATTTTTGTCCCAAATTTCATTGTCAGATGCCTCATTTGCTTTACCCCTTAGCAGCAGCTGGCAGACGAAAGTATCGAGCAAAGGTTTCCTTGCACTGCAGTGCAGAGAGGTTCCAAGCAGTGTCATCTAAAGGTAAGAATTACTTAACCCACCATTTTTAATCCATTTCTTTTGCCACCCTCGGTGTCCCCTCCACGGTGGAGTCTCAAGCTAGCTTAGATCCTTTTGGTTGAAAGGTGTCTAAAAAGCCATCCAGTCCACCCCTCAGTTCTGTACCTGGGGTGCAACCCCCGGGGAAGCTGAAGGACTTCTGTCCACCCTCACACCGTAGGCTCTGTAGCAGCGGAGCTGGGACCACTCTCGTGTCCCCTTCTGTGTAGGGGACACGCCGGCTCCACAGTCTGAGGCAGGCAGCAACGGTCGGCGTGTGGACTGGCTTCTCTATCTGGTTGGCATTCTGATAGGATTTTCTTGTAATTTGACAAAGATCGTTATTTAGTTTATTTTATTTTGAGTGAGAAGAATCTTATTTTAAAACCCAGTCATGTGAATTACCGTCTTGTTTCTTTAGAACTATGAGACATGTTTTCTACAGTAGAGAGGACACTGTAGCACCCCAGAAATATCCTTCTCGAATGTTGAGGGTCTTCATGAGGGCTGAACATGAGGGTCTTTTCTTCAGATTCCCAGTACGTGTACGTTTTCTGAATCTCAAGTTCAGTGAAATTCTTAACCTAACATTGTCACTACCACCTTTTCTTTGACGGTGTTCCTTTTGTCATTTAGTGATTTTCCTGGGTTTGACATACTGTTCTACAACACATACGCTTTTTTTGAAAGCCGGTTCTCATGAGGTAGCTGTCACACTTCTGTCCGTCCTGTTTACTGAAGTACCCGGCACGGAATGCACCAAAACCTAGCGCGGTGGCTCTGTAGGTGCTTGCGAGTTCGTATCGTTAATACACTTGTCGGTCCACCTGTCATTTGTGCAATACTGTACGTGTGTAGAGAATGAATTGTCAATAAAAAAGAACGTGGCCTCTGTGTGATCGTAAGATTGCCTTTTCTTTGTAAGGAAGAAGGGTTTGGGAATAATAGCTGTAGCTGTTGCTGTAGCTGTAATGGCTGCGTTTTTCTAACCAGTCTCGTCGCTAACGGGAATTCTCCCCACCCGATGCATTTGTGTCCAGTCTTCTGGCGTCGTTCTCCATTTGGCCCTCTGACAGACAGAGCCTTTGGGATCGCTCTTGGCCCCAGAAACCTGAGCATCGCCTTTCTTCAGCCTTGTCTCCTCCCCGCTTCCCTTCCTCCCTCCCACACGGACTCCTTCGTACAGCCCCCTGTGTCCTTGTCCCTACCTGCGATGCTTTTCCCACATCCGTCATCCAGGCTTTATGTTCACCTCCAGAAAGGTTCTCAGCCGTTCACCTCAGGCATCTTTGGAAGCACCTGCTGTCCAAGCCCTGAGGTTTCACAGATGACCGGAGACAGTCCCTGACCTCGGCCATCTTAGAATGGACAAATGAGGGGCGCCTGGGTGGCGCAGTCGGTTAAGCGTCCGACTTGAGCCAGGTCACGATCTCGCGGTCCGGGAGTTCGAGCCCCGCGTCAGGCTCTGGGCTGATGGCTCAGAGCCTGGAGCCTGTTTCCGATTCTGTGTCTCCCTCTCTCTCTGCCCCTCCCCCATTCATGCTCTGTCTCTCTCTGTCGCAAAAATAAATAAACGTTGAAAAAAAAAATTAAAAAAAAAAAAAAAAGAATGGACAAATGAGACACCAATGAAGAGAGTAGGGTAAGTGTCGTGATAGGTAAAATGTGACACAGACTTGCTCCGTGCCAGGAGCTGTTCCAGTATCATCTTCACAACAAGCTAGTGAAGTAGGTTGACTGTTGTCCTCTCCTAGATGAGAAATTAAGAGCTCAGGATGAATAAAATAGTTGACCTGAGTCCCACAGGAAGTGGCCAGGTCACAGTGACCCGCCCGTGCTGCTAGCAGTTGGGCTGTGCCATGTGTAGTGAGAACCGAGATGGTTCACTTTTTTTTTTTTTTAACGTTTATTTTTGAGACAGAGAGAGAGAGAGAGCATGAACGGGGGAGGGGCAGAGAGAGAGGGAGACACAGAATCGGAAACAGGCTCCAGGCTCTGAGCCATCAGCCCAGAGCCTGACGCGGGGCTTGAACTGACGGACCGCGAGATCGTGACCTGGCTGAAGTCGGACGCTTAACCGACTGAGCCACCCAGGCACCCCCAAGATGGTTCACTTCTAAGAGGCTAACTTAAAAGCTGTGACACCTTGAGCTTTTAAAACCCCTGAGAGATTTGGGGAAAAGGGAAGACATGGACAAAACTAAAGAGAACTGAAAACCTGCAGGAAGCTAGGCACTCAGGATGCTGTGAGGGACAGAAGGGACAGTAGATGGGACAGCATGTTGCGGCTTTCTCTAGCTGCTGTAGGTGCTGGGAGCCGTCAAAACCTCTGCGTTTAGAAGTCGGGGGCTGGGAGGGGAGGAAGACGGGGAAGTGCCGCTGAACCCCCAAACCTGAGGCTCACTGGGGTGAGCCTTCGGAGCTGCCGTCAGCAGGACTCCCGTCGAACAGACCAACCTCAACAGGGCCGTGGCGCTGTGGCCCATGGCCGATCACACTGGCAACGCTTTACCAGGTGTTTTGGTTTTGGTCTCTTGCACAGTACTGAAATGTTTTCTTGAAAAGTAGGAGCTTTGTCATTTCTTTGGTGTTCACTTCGCGACAGGCACGTCGTAATCCTCTTTGGCAAAATGGCTCGCCTACGGCTGCGTCATGTTCTTTCTCGCTTCAGCCAAGCGTCACCAAACCCTGGCGTCCGGTGAGAGGTCACCTGGTAGTGCCTGTGTGACACGGAGGACGTCAGCTGCCGCGGCAGGAGCTTCATGCGGGATGGTTTCTTAATCAGAAGAGCACTCTTAGGAGCCCACTCCAGTGGCGGACGTGCCCCAGAAGAATTTCAGGAGACGGGGGCTGCAGCGGTGTTCTGCTGCAGAGTGTCCCTGTCCCTGCCCTGTCTCCTACCCACAAGAATGATTTTCTTGTTGACAAAGAGGAAAGTGGGGAGGGGTTGGAAAAATCCCTACAAGATCAGAAGTCCCTAAGATTTGCAGGACTTCCCAGGTTTCATTCCTCAGGAAATCCCTTTTAAAAAGAGCCTTTCTTGTCTCGTTTTGATGCCTGAGAAATCAGGAAGTGCAAAAGCCTGTGATGTTAAGCTGCCTGGTCATTCCCATGCCATTGAAGAGCTGTAAGACCCTTGTGGCCTACAAAGCTTTTTATAAGTGTCCAGTTTGGGCCTCAGAGCAGACGTGACCTGGCCCACGAGACTGCGTCAACTCGAGTAAATATAAATGCAGCCAGCCTGATGGCTGGGGCTCAGTCCGCAAGTTCGTGGGATGTCAGAGCTAGAGCTCTGGGGGTCAGATACATCTGGGTTTAAATCGTGGGCTCTGTCACTTTGTGACCTGTTGACCCGGCACAGTTTAGGTGATTTCTCTTGAGCCTGTTGCCCTATCTGTAGAACAGTCTCAGAATTGGGGGAAGTTGGATGAGCTAACTGCACATAAACAGGATCCAGATTAGAGATGACACTCAGTACTTAGTGGTTCTGGTCCCTTTTACCCATGGTTATCAGTCAAGGCAAGAGTGCGGGGAAAGAGTTTTCATATAATTAGGGAGTTACTGCCCCACATTAAAATCTGGGGGCAATTTACTGTATCTCTTTACATGACCACAACAGCTTGATTGAAAAGAACTACAGATATAATAACAAATTATATTCTCTTTGTAGCTGATTAGCTATGAAGAGAACTCCCGTGTAGAGAGAGGTTTCTTGACTGACGAGCTGAACCCCCACGGGCTTAGAGGGTGGAGGGTCAGGTCAACGGGAAAGCCAGGCTGGCGGCGTACCTACCCTCTCCCTCCTTTGCAATGTGGAGCCCTTGCCAGGGGTGAGTCCTGGTGGGATGTGTGAAATCTGCCTCCCTTGCTATCCCCCAAAATCCTCAGTAAAGGCTGGGGTTCTCAGTGGCACAAAATGCAACCTTCCCCAGGGCAAGGACTCTGCACCAGCGATGGCCCCCTAGCACAAAACCCTGTTTCTTTGATAGCCCTAGTGGACTGCATCACAGATTTACTTCCATAAGTACATAGTTCCCAGCTATTCACTATAAAGTACATGTTAGGGGCACCTGGCTGGCTCAGTCGGAAGAGCATGCAACTCTTGATCTCAGGGTCGTGAGTTCAAGCCCCCTCCCTCCCCGGGTTGGGTGTAGAGATTATTAAGAAAAATAAATAAACTTTAAAGTACATGGTTATTCTCTGTGGAGTCAGGTCTTCAAGCAGTCCTTCTCAAGCTTCAAAGTGTAAATAAATGGGTATCTTGTCGATCCCCAAGGTCTAGGGGACTGGGCTTCTGCACGTTGAGCCAAGGGTCAGGTGAAGCCCATGCTGTTGCTCTGCAGACCACCTTTGAGTAGCAAGGTTTTAAAATGTCTCCAGGGGTACTTGGTTGTATTAAGTGATCATTTGTACCTGTAGTTTTTACCGCCCACCGTGGTGTTCAGGGTCTTTGATCAGCATGAGAGAGCCCCGTGGCCAGCCTGAGATGACAGAACAGCTTACCCACCAGTTTTTATAAGACCTGTCTGGTTCCTTTCAGTGAAATCCTAAAACCGTCTCGAGGATGTCCAGCCCCGTTTCCATTCAGTAGCTGGGTCCCCGCTCAGTCCCCACTGCGCGGGCACAACCAGGCGACCTGGGTGGTCCATGAATCGTTTTGATCCTAATATTCTGGAACCAGAGTCCTCAAATAGGCTGGGTTTGACATCTCGGGGAGACCTACAAGGAAGGGGACACCTTGCATGGCCCTTCTTTTCTCTGAACGACCACAAAAGGTGGCACAGGGCATTGCCTTTCTCAGGAAATGTGTCTTGTGGGAAGTGTGCACGGGACAAAATTTACCACTTAACCACTACTTTTAAGTGTGCGTTTCAGCGGCCGTAAGAACCTTCATAGTGCCGCACAGCCATCACCACCATCCATCTCTAGAACTTTCTCATCTTCCCAACTGAAACTCTGCCCCCATTAAACACTAACTGTTCGTTCCTCGCCACCTCCCGTCCCTAGTAACCAGCATTCTACTTCCCGTCTCTGATTTGTCTAGGTGCCTCAGAGCAGTGGGATCCTGCAGTATTTGTCCTTTTGTGTCTGGTCCGGAGGTAACAGTTTTGATCTTCATTAGCAAGGAGACGTGGCCTCAACAGTTCTCACGGTTGCTCTTTAACCCACCGCGGATGGAGTCTTTAGTTTGTCCGCTGTGAAACTCCTTTGATGATGTGTCTGCTGATGGTTATTTATGGACAATTGAGGGCAGTTTAAGAAAAGCATCAAAAGATTGTGCACTAGGCTGACCCAGACGAAATTCATCATGAGGAGTCTGGGCAGAAACATCAGGTATTACAAAGGAAGTTCAATAGATAGGACTTGAAATATGTAGCTCTTGTCAGGACGAAGTCCAGCGAAACCATTTGGTGCTGCAACAGATCTCCTACTCCTTCCTTTCTTTCTAATGCAGCCCCAATCCACTTGCGGCCAGACTGTGTAGGCGGACGTAGGACGCTGTGTCCTATTAACTGCCTCGATTTCTCCTTTGCATCTTGTCCGTATCTATAGAAGGAAAAACTTGACTGATTAGAAAATCACAATTCAGCTCGTTCATTTTTTAGCGTTTCATGGCACATGTTCACTTTTTAAAATGTCTTTCCATCCTCCACCTTCCACCTATCACCCTCATGAAGGAAAATAACCCCCTGGCCTTTGGTGTCATGCAGCTGTTTATGTGACCTTGAGGACGTCCGTATGTCACAATGGACAGTGAGTTATTCCTTCACACTAAGCGTTAGCAGATGCCAGGCTAGCCCATGGGGCTACCAGATGAATGAGACCCAGCCCTGCAGATTCGTAAACAAGATGGCCACATAAACATAACTGTAAAGCAAGTGGTAAGTGCTGTGATTGACCTACTCCTGGGGCATAATGAGAGAACAGAGAAGTGAACGTTCGGCCAGCCTGGGCTTGGCCAGGAGATGTGGGGGGAAGTGGGCGGTAGGGAGAGAGAAAGCAGAGGCTAGAGCTGAGAGATGTGAAGCTGGGCTCGTGTCGACAAATCAGAGCTGGGAAACCGACCTTCCGGCAGTTCATGACTGCGCCTCAACAGTCCATCTCTTCCTTCGGGCCTTCCCTCTTAGCCTTGCCCTCTTGGTGGATTTCTCTGCCTTCTTCCCTCGCCACCATGTTGCCACTGACTCCTAGCCCTGACTGGACTCTGTTCTCACTACACCCATAGCCCCTTCCCCCTGTCCCCAAATCCAGCCTTGAGAGTAGAGATGAGTCTGAAAGAGGAGGAGGAGGAGGAGGCCAAAAAATGGTAGTGAGCTTCCTCTCCCTTTTCTGGAGCCAGCTTTTGTGGACAAGCTGTCTCTCATGGGCCCAAACTGAATGGTGGAAATACCCGAACTCCTCAAACTGGGTTCCAGGACAGGCCTGTCCATCCTCAAGGCCGCCACTAAGGCCACTGTCCATCCAACGAATGGAGGCCCTGAGCAGGCACCCTTCCCTGGGGACTGTCCACAGGACAGTAAGCATCAGCCTAACGGCAATCCCTTTGGGTGGAGTTGTACTGTCCCAACCCATCCCGCCTTCTCCTACCCCAGCTGCTATCCACCTGAGGCCTTCGTTCTAACCTTCTGTACATGCTACCTTACATCTCATGGGTATGTACCCATTTCGTGGGTGCTGAGGGCACCCACAAGTACACTGGCATTGTGGACAGCAGACAGAGCCAAGGCTGGTGACTCAGCCAGTGCTTCCAGACCAGCCTAGGACCCCGCTCCGTGTTCGTCAGGTCCCTGGGGGAGAGGTGGGGAAGTGAGCCCCACTGCCGATGCACAGCTCTTCAGTATCAAAGGGAGTAGAAATGGTTGTAGGTGCAGAGATGGGTGTGGCCCCCAGGAACCCCCAAGGAACTCTGTTCCTCCTCCTCTAGATTGCCGAGCAGAACGGTGTCCCTCTCCTCTGGTTTCTGTCTTTGGGAATCTGGCTCCTTTTTGGGATTCCATCCTGTAGGTCAAGTGCTGCCGCCCTCACCAAGCAAACCGGAAACAAGCAGAGATCTTCCCTGGAGGCTACACCAGGTACGATTCCCGCTTCTAAAAGTACTGGCATCCTCCACTGGCCACTCCTGAGGCACCTGAGCTGCCCCCACGTCCCCTTCCCCGAGAGCTTGTGCCACAGGAAACCATGACCTGCCGGCACCACGAGATGCTCAGCACCACGTCCTTTCTAACAGGCCCAGGGGGGATGGGGGCTGGTCCATTGGGGGAGTGCACTGAGGATTCCCCCTCTTACCACGCGGGGCTGTCTCGTTGCCTTGTTTCAGGCTTGCCTTCCGCGTGTGACCACAGAGCCCCAGCCGTTCCGTTGCTAAGCGTCTATGGAGCCCTTGCTATAATCATGCCTTGTACCACGGAGGACACAAAGACGTGCCTCCGGGAGCTGGCCCTGTGGGAGGGGGGAGGTGGTGGGAGGAGGAAGAGCACAGCAGTAGCGGCTGGTGGCAGTGGCCGTGATTAGGCAGCCGGCGCTTGTAAGAACACGTCCTAGGGGCTGGCCTCCTGGCTGGCACTCTGCAGGAGTTCAGGGGTTGAGTCCTCACACAGCTCTAGGTGGCTGGTGCCCTACTTACCACGCCCATTTTACATATGTGTATACGGAGTACTGAGGCCAATAAATGCCATTGAGGGGGCACAGGAGCCCTGTCCAGGAGGCTCAGAGGAGCAAGAGAGGACATGAGGGAACAGAGAATGTCAGAGGGGCAGCTCCAGAGATGTTTGTTTTCTTTCATGTTTACTTATTTTTAAATGTTTGTTTATATCTGGGAGGTAGGAAGACAGTGTGCAAGCTGGGGAGGGGCAAGGAGAGACCTAGACAGAATCCGAAGCAGGTTCCAGGCTCTGAGCTGGCAGCAGAGCCAGCCTGACACGGAGCTCGAACTGTGAGATCGTGACCTGATCCAAAGTCAGACACTCAACCGACTGAGCCACCCAGACGCTCCCAGAGATGGATTTTCACAAGACACCGCAACTGTGAGGAGAAGGGCCTTCATATGCAGAGGGCAGATAAGCCGGCACGGATGAGAGTGAGGGTCGTGTGTGGGGAACGTCAGAAGATACGCTACGGGGAGTAGAGTCGCCCGAGAGGGAAGTGATGGGGATACAGATGGTCATGGTTCGCAGCTCGGCTGAGAAGCCCCAAGCACGAGGCTGATGTCCTGTGCGCTGTGGGCCAGGGCAGAGCCACTGAGGGTTTTGAGCGAGAACAAGTCGGGATCAGAATTCTCTTTTAGGAAGGGTGACCCGGTGTGGCTTATAGAAAGTAAGAAGTTGGAGCACAGGATTTCTAGGGCACTGAAACTGTTCTGTATGATGGTATGATGTGTGATGGTGGATACATGTCATATGTTGGTCAGCACCCATTGGACATACAACACAAAGTCAACCCCGATGTAAACTAAAGACTTAGTTGATAACAGTATCGGTTTGTCAGTTACGAGTAATGCATCACACTATGTAAGATAGTCATAGGAAAAATTGTCTATAACGGTGGGAAATGCTCTCCTTTCCAATTTTCTGTAAACCTGAAACTGCTCTAAAAAAAAAGTCTATCAATTATTTAGAAGTCTTTTTTTAAGAACATTTTTAAAACTTTTAATTTCAAAAAAGCTAACATACAGTGTTATATTAATTTTAGGTGCACGATGGAGTGATTCAATAGACATGTTTTATTAGCAAAATAAGACAATAGTTTTACATTCCTAAGAAAACTCAGGTTTTCAAAAATTGCTTCAAAGGGAGAATTGAGTTTCGTTCATTTTTCCTACCAGAATTTCAATGATAAAGGTCATTTTTTTAATATAAGTAATCGTAAGTACACTTAAATACTCCCAGCGTGGGGCTCAAACTCACACCCCTGAGATCAGGAGTCGTGTGCTCTTCTGGGCTGAGCCAGCCAGGCACCCCAATAAAGATCATGTTTAATAGTAGGCTGTGGACTGCCATAAAAGCCACACATCAGAAAGCACTCTGGCCTTCGTGTCTGGTCTCTGCTCGAGACTGATAAGCTCTCTCAGCACATCAGCAGCCGCAGGGTGGTGCGTGCAGCCTTCCACGATGCGCTCCCTGAGGCATTGTTCTTGCCTCATCTGCTCTTAGTCAATGCCACAGACTTTTCCTCTGTCTGAGGTGCTGAATCTGATGGATCCATGTTTCCATTTCTGATTGCGTTACAATCAATAATAGCACATTATACCCCCTAATCAATTGTGTTCTATGCAGTTCATCTGAAAACCTGAGCAGGCGGCATGTAGTGATGGAGAACCTAATCTGCACCGGCCGCTAAGCCGGGCAAGCGGATCCTATGGGCGGGCAGATTCTGAGGCTGAGGAATCCAGGGAAATCAGCCAGGAAAAGCCCCCTAGGCATTTTGGTGAGAAATCAGGCAAGAGCTAACGAAGCCCAGACGAATCCTGGGTTCCCTGTGGGCTCTCACCTGCTTCCCAAAGGGGTCCTCTTCTCACTTAGACCAACATACCCAAAGCATGGAACCCCGTAATCTCTCCAGTGGGCCACAGGCACCCGGGGGGTTCAGAGAAAAAGCAACAACACAATAGTAGTCAAACTTCTTGAATTGGGACCGAAAGATTGTAGTTAGTGACTTCACAGAAACCCTATTTTGTCCTCTGCAACCATTCCACATTTAAACGTTGAGCATTTGGGGTCCCTGGGTGGCTCAGTCAGTTGAGCATTCGACTCTTGGTTTTGGATCAGGTCATGATCTCACAGTTCGTGGGTTCGAGCCCCACATCAGGCTCGGTGCAGAGCCTGTTTGGGATTCTCTCTCTCTCTCTCTCTCTCTGTCTCTCAAAATAAATGAATAAACTTTAAAAAAATGTTGAGCATTTTCCATAAGGACAGCATCCGATTATCTTAAGTAACATCCGGTTGACAAAGTTCACTGTGGTTTAGTGTATTTTTCATACCATTGGCTGGTATCAAATTTGCAATCTTTATTATTGTGATTGGGTTATATTTGACTCGATTTCATTTTTCAAGAGGATTAGTGGCCCAAAAGTGTTCACTGAAGCATAAAATAGTGATGGAAACAGTGTTATATATCCTACAAATCGGAAAAATCTTATGAATACCCAAGGTAACTGTCTCTCCAGAAGGATATAGGATGTCAGGATTTACCGGGTCTAGCAAATCTGCAGGTGTGCTCTTACACAAAGAAGTTAAAAATGGAAACTCAATAGGAGATATGACTCCGGGTCTTGGGGTCGTGAGTTCGAGCCCCACGTTGGATGTAGCGCTTACTTAAAAACTTAACAGGAGGTGCCACGATGAATATCTGAAAGCTGAATTTAACTAGATAGAGCTCGTACTTGCCCAGGTCTTCCCCAGCAAAGTTACAAAACCTGGTCAGACGGTACCACTGAAACTTTTGAGTTATTCGACAAAGATGGTGGGACTTTTCCAGAAGAAGTAAAAAAGTTGCTCTCTAGGACAAAATGATTAATTGCTGAACACAGAGTAAAGTCAAAAATGGCCAACCTGTTATTGAAAAGTTTTACTTATTGAAGCAAAAATAGATGCGGGGCTCAAACTCATGAACCACGAGATCATGACCTGAGCTGAAGTCAGACGCTTAACCAACTGAGCCACCCAGGCACCCCCAAAGATCTTATTTTATTTTTACTTTTAACATGTATTCATTTTTTGACACAGAGAGAGAAAGAGTGTGAGCAGGGGAGGGGAAGAGAGAGAGGGAAACACAGAATCCAAAGCAGGCTTCAGGCTCTGAGCTGTCAGCACAGAGCCCGATGTGGGGCCCAAACCCATGGACTGTGAGAAGATCTTATTTTTTTCAGAGAATTTATTATTTCTTTTTTTTTAGAGTGTATTAATTAATTAATTAATTAATTTACTTAAGTAATCTACACCCAGTGTGGGGCTTGAACTCATGACCCTGAGATCAAGAGTCACACACTCTCCCAACTGAGCCAGCTGGGCACCCCATCAAAAGACCTTATTGTACTGCTATTAATAATATGCAATATGACAAAAACATTTCCAGTTGCAGACGCGAGCTGGTCTATAGCTGTTGATGTTATGTGTTGTATATACACATGAGGAAGAAAGCCACAGTGGTGCTTTGCTCTGCGTTACTGAACATACAGTGAAGAGCCATTGGAGAGGCGGATTGTAGGCAGAAAAAGATGCCCAGGCGTCCTACCTCAGGGGCAGTGGAGGAGCGCTTCATTCCAGAAATGAAGGGCACGTCTCTGAATGCCCCCCCCCCCGCCCCATACCGTCTCACTCCCAGGGAGCTTCCTCTTGGTTTTCATGTCACTGGGACGGATACCGCGAACGCCACGTATGATCAAGTTGTGACCACTGCGTGCCCACCTGCCCTGTAAAGAAACAGGGACAGAGTGAGACCACTAAGTGTCCGTGAAGATGACGGATTAAAACCTCCAAGTAATTCCGTGCCTCCACATCGGAATGGGACAGCAACACTGGGACGTTTTTTAAAAAGACATGGCCCAAAGATGAGATCTGGAGAGATGCTAACATCAGAAACATTTCGGAAGTGGGAAGGTAAAAGGATGAGGGGTTGCTAACGGTTTGGCAGGCTAAGAACCGGACGGCCCTATTATGCTTCAGAATTCTCAGAATGCGACTGCAGGTGACACCGGCTTTCCTGGAACTAAGGGCAACGGGGAAGGTGGGCCAAGAGGACGGTTTCTGAGAAGGTGGACCCTCAGATGCCTTCCCCCACTTCATGTCTCTGCCCGTAATCTAAAGAACTTCTCTCTGGAGAGGCTAATCCAGGGGCTGCAGACTTGGGAGGGGCCAGGCCCACCAGGGGGTGCAAGCATCACACTGTAAAACAAGGAACAGACACCCAAACAAAACAAGGGATTATGTGAACGTATGTGCAGTAAGTGCCTGATACGAGGGCCTCCCAGCCCCCCTCCTTCCCCCCACTCTGCAGCTCTGATTTATCCTGTCACAGTGAGATACTTTAACACCCTCCAGATCAGGGAGGGTGGACTCTTACTAGCCCAGGAAAGGCC